CAGGTCAGACTCCAGGAGCCTATGACTGGCTGCAGGACTTGGCACGGGGTGCCGGGGCTCAGAGCCACTCTGTCTCTTGGCTCTGCTTTCTTTTGCAGGGATTCTCAAGGAGGTCCTTCCCGTGTGGTGACAAAGGTGACCTCCCCCAGGTTCAGGAGAAGTGGGCGCAGATGTCCTAGGATGACTGGGATTGACTAGTCTCGGTTCCATCCTTGCTTATGCTTGAAGCAGTTGCTCTGGCTAAGGGGATGCAGAACTCTCTGGCCAGGTGTCCACACCTGCAGCTTCAGGGCGGGGAGGTAGGCAGATGCTCCGAGCAGACACAGCAGGTCAGAAATGCTCTCGGTCCCCAGTGTGTGACCATCCCAGAGTGTCAGTGAGCATCTCAGCAGTGTCCGTGCGGGGACTAAAGGGGTCTGTGGGGTTGTGTTCCCAGGTCTGCAGTCGTCAGTCTTGGTAGCGTCCTGTGTACTGCAGCCGTTGTAAGAACGCAACTCACAATGAGACAAACTAAGTAGAAACTGAGTTCTTGAGCCTCTAGTTCTAAGAAGTAACTTTCAGCCTTGGCGATCGAGTGGGTAATTAAATTCAATTGTAAACGTTTTTCCCCATCGCAGAGATTTCATAATCTTGTGACATTGACTGTGCGTCTTGGATGTGAGATGGGGAGCTCCCTGAAGGCTGTACGTTGGTCACGTATCTGCCTTTATGTGTATTTGGTGTGGACAGAAGTAACATTTATTCAGTGGCATTTGTCAGGTGCTGGATGGTTCACATAAGCCAGCTGGTGTAATCCTTTCAGAAGCTGCAGGGTGGGTGGTATTCTAAGCATTTCATAGGTTATCTGGGCAGCTGTAGGGGGTGGGCAGCATTTTCTGGCTTTTCCAACATGTTAGATAATTTGAGAATGCCAAAGAGAGTCTGTTATCATTACGACAATTCCACGCACAATCCTAGTCAGACAAGTTCAAGGCAATTATCCTATTCTAATTGTCACAGATCTGAAGATCGTTGACTTTGTATTCTCTTAGGATGATCACTTTTCCTCTGAAAGATGACTTCTTAAAAATGAAAATTAAGTCATGCCAGGTCTTGTTTATTTTTGCTTTGACACAGAGAAAGGGTGCTGAAGGATTTGGGAACAGTCCTGAGTGACAGAGAGAATTAAGTTGTTCGGAGGGTAGTTTCAGACCCGACACAGGAAGCTCTTCCCTGCACCATTTGGAAGGAAATTTCAAACATCTGGGGTAGAACGACTCCTCACCCTTGAGGGAGGATTCTGCTTTACAAAAATTAGGTAACGTGTGTCTTGATATGTTGTGAAATAAATAAGTTTAAGAATGCCTGGGTGACCAGGTGTGCATGCCACCATACCAGGCCTTCGTCCGAGTCAGTCACGTTTTCCTGGAATGCACGTGTTGTCGTGTGCATTATGTTATTGTCATAGGAGTCTTAAAAAAAGGACACATGATCTTCCTGTTCACGGGCTTAGGTTTTGATCTGTCCGTCTCCGTGGGACATGGGCCGTGTGGTTTCTCTCCCAGAGCCGCTGCCATTAGCTGGACTCCTGCAGGCCCTGGCCTGGCCCCGTATTCCAACCACCTGCTCCTTCCAGCTGCTTCCGCTGTAGCCGGCAGCTCAGGGGCTGGTCTGTCTAGCACAGACATCAAACCACTTCAGGAACCTTTGTCTTACAACGCACCCTGAGGGCTTGACTTTTCTGTGCCTTCAGAGGGTGTTCTACAGTCGCCTGAAACTCTTCCCAAGCTAAACTCTCTTTCTAACAAAACAAACACAGCTCTGAACACCCATTACCTCCTCCCCACTTCCCTATTTGTGCCGGTTCTCCCAGCCCTTATCTGTAGAATGATCTTTGATCCTGTCCTCCCCACCCACCACCACCACTAGCAGCACACACCCTGCTCGCAGCAACTCTAAACACTTCTTATCTAACCATCTTCTTCCTTCCCATCGCCCCAACTTGTCGCCAGCCTGCATCCCTCCGATCATGTGGGTGCTCCCTTGGCGATCCTCTGCCCCCCCAAGGTAAAGCCCTCGTCCAGCTGGCCTGGCTCCAGTGCCCTGTTCCCCGATGCTCCCCCTTCCAGCTCTCTCTCTCCGGGTCCGATGTCCTCCTGGCCCCTGTTTCGATCATTCCCTTCACTGTACTTGGATACACTTACGGACCATAATATTCATTTTGCCTAAACTTATACTTGGTGTTATTTCTTGCTTTGAATCTCATTTCCTTCTTTATTTCCCCAAAGACTCATAGTTTATCCCCATTAGATTCAATGTTACTACTTCGAGTGAAGGAGGCTACATTCAGTGATGCGTTTGGGACATTTTATTTTGTAACCAGTGTTGAGAGAGACTACCTTGCACGGGCTCAGGTTTTTAATACTTCCAGAAGTGATAACGATCTTATTTATAAATGTCCCTTTTAGCCAAAGACCCTTGGTCAGAAAAAAAGAAACAAATAGCTGGCATCGCTGGCGTGTAAGTGTTTAATTTTCTGGGACAGCATTTATTCAGCAGATACTTTAACACGTATTTCCTTTGCTTTGCCATCGGAATCAAGGACCCACAGAAATCTGTTTGGGAACCATCAGTATAACCTAAAAAAGAGTGTAAAGCTACTAAAGTGCATTTTAACAAAGGAAAGCTAAGCATGTTTCAGGTGGTGGGTGCTTTTTCATCTTCCTCATAATTAAAATAGGAGGAAGTACGTGTGTATGAAGCTTTGGCAACAGAATGTGGAAGAAGGACTTACAACGGCCGTGCCCGCGGCCGCGGCTCCCAGGCCAGGTGCTTTGCAGGCAGCGTCTGCCCACCTGCTTCCTGCCCTGTGGACCCTTGAGCTCCAAGGCCTTGCTCTACAGTTTCTAAGGGTTTCTCAATCCCCTCAGGCCTCACCCTTCAATTAACACTCACGTGACCTTGTGTATTTGTCTTTGTCCTGTGTCTGAAGATATTTCCACTACGGATTCTGCTCCGAAACATTGAAAATATTGACTTCAAAGTCGGTGGTGTGGAGCCAAGCATGCTTCTGGTGAAGATGAATGGAAATGCTCTTGACACAGGACAAAGTCAAGGCCCATTAACTTAAACAGGATGCGGGGTGTCTTGGGGGAAGGCCCAGCTTGTTCACGTTTGTAGTCAGAAAAGAAAGCCATATGCAGAAATGAAAACAAACAGGTTTTGCCTCATCGGTGAAGTCATTCCCATGAGACACCGTCCCAGGGACACATCCCACCTCCACTCCCGTCCTTGGCTACAGGGGGTTCTTGGGAGCTTGTCCTCTGTGCTGAGTGGGACCGGAACCTACATTTGTCGTGTCCACCTAGCTCACTGCAGGAAGATGGCAGATGTTTGGATGGGTCGAGAGCAACAGTGTAGGTTTGCAACGGGGTAACTCTACACATCGCTTTGCCTGTTATATCCAGGGTCCCGGCTTCCCCTGGCAACACGGGGAGACTGATTTCTTGTGTTGTGTTTTAAGTAACTCTTCCGTAATGCCTGATAAACACGTTGGTGTGTACTCAATGTTATTATCATCCTGGATGGACTGACTCATTTTTGCTGGTTTGTAGCTGGGCGTCTGTTTCTGTCTAGATCCCTAAAGAAGATTTAAACTTTGAGTGGGTTTTATATCCATTGGAATGAGAGCAGTGTGTGAGACGGTGAATTCGTTCAGAACCAGCCCTAGGCTAGAATCCTGTTCCATTCCAAGCAAGAAATGCCTCCAGGGTACCGATCCCCAGGAGAGAAAGGGCCACACGTAGACTGGGGTGGTTGGAAAAGTGCGTGAAGGAGGTGGGACTGGAACGGGCCGGAAGGACCCCGGAATTGTCTGTGTAACGGGGAGGTGGGAGGTGTCCATGGAGCCGTGAGGGGCCTGACTGTAGGGGCAGAGGCTCGCTTAGGGGGAAACGGTTGGAACAGTAAGGTGGGGCCGCGTTGTGGTGTTTACTCTGAGGATGTGCGTGAGTGCGTGGACTTTCACCCCAAGGGTAATGATTTGCAGGGTGGGTTGGAGTAGGGAGTGACATGGGTGGTGCAGCTTCTGCAGATAGAACCAGGGAGGAGGCAGGTCTGGGAGAGGAGGGGAGGTGGGGGAGGGGAGGATATGGAGCTCTGCCCTGGGAAGAAGGGAGGGCGGGGGCACGCTGGGAAGCGCATGCAGTTAGCGTGGGTCAGAGTGAGGCAGGTCAGCAGTCAGGAGCTGGACACCTGCCCCCTCACCAACCACAGAAAGACACATGGAAGCCAGAAGGACAGGGCAGGACAGGTCAGGGGGTTGATCACCGTGCTGGTGGCGCACATCAGGGCTCTGTCCAGCCCTGCACACGTCTCCTGCAGACAGCGTGGCGCGGTGAACACACCCAGGCGTGTGGCCTGCCTGCCACATGACCGTTTATCCGACTGAAAATGGGAGAGAACGGGTTGGGAGACCACTGAGGAAGACTTGGGAGGTTTTAGCCCGAGAAGAGGCGAAAGAAAATATAATTACCTTCAAATTGATTATCTCCCAGTCCCTCTCTCTACTACATGTTAATATCTTTCATGTTATTAAAACCTCACTCAAAGGGCTCTTACAGTATTAGGATTTGCCAAGCACGTTTTTGTTTTTACGTCAGAAATACATTTAGGATTATCAAAGAAACCATCAAGAGGGGAGAAGAGGAAACGAGATGAGCCTGTAAATACCGAATGAAATTTGTAGTGTATTTACTGAGTTCATTGTCCAGAAAAAACACGTCCTGGTCATTATTTTTGCAAACTGTTGTACAACACAGCATCTCGGTCGCTCCGTACCGAGCTGGGCCGCGAACACCTGGTTCTGTGATGTTCACATTCATTTTAAGCTCAAGTGTACAAGTGAGATGATGTGATTTAAAAACTGGTAGGTGCGGGAGTTTTGTGAGTTTAAGGTAGTGTGGGTTTTGTCCTTTTCTGTTGTTTGTTCACTAATGGCAGGCTCCCTCTGACCTCCGCAGGTATGGCGTGAGTCCTGAGAACATCATTCTGTACGGTCAGAGCATTGGGACCGTCCCCACCGTCGACCTGGCCTCCCGGTACGAGTGCGCAGCCGTCATTCTCCACTCGCCTCTGATGTCCGGTTTGCGCGTGGCTTTTCCTGATACCAGGAAAACGTACTGTTTCGATGCTTTCCCCAGGTAAGCTCACGCTGGGACAACAGGGGCTAAAGCCTGGCGTGACCTGTTCAGGTGTGATGCCACCATTAACTGTAGGCCTCTGATAAATAGGCACTGACTGCAGCCGCCCGTCACACCTGTGCTGGCACCTTAGGGGACCTGGAGGTGAGTGGGACACACACACCAGCAGGAAACTTTGTCCTTGGGCCTGACTCATTTGTGAAAATCCACCAGGTGACTGACGTATGAGGACCTTCCTTGTACTGATATCCACGCTTCACTGAGTCACCTGTATGTGCAGGACACAAAGCACCCACGTACCGGGAAGGAACTTAGAGTTCAGTGTTCCCTCATTCGTTCAGATGGACATGCGTTGTTGAACCGCCGAGCACTACATGCAGACAGAGCGTGTGACATGGCAGTCAGAGGTGGTCCACGCTCAGTGGAAACTGCAGGTGTCCATAGCTTTGAAACCTCTCTTAATTTTTCAGCCAGACAGTACAGCTAAGGGCAAGGTGAAGTGAGCTTCCTGTAGTCAGGGACAGGGGGAGTGAAAGCCACACCCGCAGGCCCAGGCCCGAGAGAGCTGCTCATTTCATCCCAGGCTCCTGCTTTTGCCAGGAGACCTCCTCCCCTGCAGAGGGGCCGCACCCACCATGGGAGCGCGGGACCCTGAGCCCGGAGCCCCTGCCAGCTGGGTGCCCCTGCCAGCCCAGCCCGTTCTCTAGTTCCCATTGACAGAAGGAAGGACAATGGGTGACCGTACTGTAAATGCACAAAGAACAGAACAACAGGCACGGTGGTTTCTCGAAGACCTGTTTGAAAATGTTCCTTGGGGTGTTTTTAATCTTAAGTTGAGGGCAGCATCTTCGGTAAAAACTCTGCCCCTGAAACTTTCCGCCTGGTTCATTGCCCACACGCTTTCAGACTGTTACAGCAGGCCTGGCCAGCTCACGGGATCGTTTGTGTAGACAAGGCCTCAGCAGAAATATTGGTCAGTGTTAGGACGTTCACTGACCCATTAATTGCCATCATTCTGCTATTGCTAGGGAGGAAAAAACAACATCATGTGGTTATATAAACCTCTGCTGCGTAGACTGTCTTGTTTCGTTAGAAGGAGCCTTCCGGTAACACCTTGGTTGAACCCCAGCTCTGGGCAGTTTGTACCAGGGGTCAGTGGAATGCAGCTTCTTGGGGAAGTGGAGGAGCTGCAGGTTTCCACTGGTGTGGCGGGAATGCCAAACGGGGCTGGCGGGCGTCTCCAGTGTGGCCTTGTTTGTGCTGAATTGGGAACGAGAGGCCAGTTTGTTGAAAGGGAGATATTTAGTGTGTTTGTGGGAGGCCATGCGAGGAGTTACCCTGGCAACAAAATGAATGGTTTTTTGTGGTTTTTTTTCCCTGACTCTTAAATGAGCATATACCTTAAAATACAGCCATGCCAACTAATGGTGGCTTAATAGAAAACCAGCAACTAATCTTTACTGGGCGTGTCTGACACGCCAGGCATCGGGTTAAACATTATCTCAGTCTTGGAAACCCCCCCCCAAGAAGTTGGTCAGGTTACAGGACCCTTTGCAGGTTAGGAAACTGAGGCTTAGAGAGAGTTAAGGCAGGAAAGGCCCTTCAATTCAGTCCCCTGGAGCATTAATATGATACATTCCAAACCCTGGAGCCACACTGACTTTTATCATTGATTGAATCTGGTAAATGTTTTCTCACCGTGTCCACTGCTACCAAATTGCATTGCAAAATTGTCTCTGCGTTCCTTTCTTTAAAGGAGGGTCCCTTCCCATTTCCTTTTAGTATTAAGACAATAAAGGAGTGTCGAGGACTATTTGGCTTGGAGTTTATTTTCTTTCACCCGCATATTCCATTTAGCATCAGACGGTGGCATTTAATTTGAGATACACCCTCAGACTGTAGAGAGAACTTCTAAGCTGCACAGTGGGGCACAGCCCCTTCTGTCAGTAAATATCTTTTTAATGGAATATAATTGGATTTGCATTTTTTCAAGAAGAAGTCACTTTACAGTGAAATGCAGGGGGAAAGTAGGCTTATAAACAAGATTCCCAATCTGCAAAACTGAATGCCGCCACCGTGGCTGTGATCTTGGCCAATGACAGGGCTGGTGAGGTTTTGCTGTCTTCCTGGATGTCCTGAAGTGGCTGGCAGCTTCCTGAGTTGTTCAGAAAAAGGCTGTGTAGGGCCCTGGGATGTGTGGGTGATGTCCCCGCTCCTTGTTATCTCCACAACCTCACGCCTGTTATTTAATAATCTCTGAGCATCAGTGCCCTCCTGGGTTAAATAGGGATGGTCTTTCCTCTCTCATTGGGTCTCCCCGAAGATTAAATGATTTTTTATATGCAAAGGGCAAAGCTCCTGACTGTGGTAAAGGTTTAACAAATGTGAGCTGTTACTTTTCACAAAAAGATTCCCTACAGAGAGTCCCCGCTCACCAGTCTGAATCCCTTTGTAACTGTGACCAAACACTGTGAGAAAGAGGGACTTTGGCAGGTGGACAGGTGGGTCGGAGCCTGGCCTCTTTTGATTTGCTCTGAAGTTGACTGACCTCCCTCGGAGAAGTCGCCTACACACCCAGCCCAGCGAGGCGAGGCGTGGAGTCTCTTGAATTCCTCTTGGGAAATGTTTTCAGAGCCTGTGGCACATTCTTTTGAAGATCCTCAAATATCCCTCCTTTGAGGGTAGATTGGATTTTTGTAAACAGTCAGAAATTACTCGGAATCAAGGGAAGGCATTACATTAAGGTTTCAAGCAAAGTGGTACAGTTTTTATAAAAAATGAGGCATTAGCTCTTATGCATTGTGGTTTGGAAGGACCTTATTGATGGATCATGAAGAAAAGTCCTGAAAACCTAAGGGCTGGGGATCAAAGGAGACATTCGTTCAGGCGTGCCGAGTTCTAGCCTGTTCGTCGTTTTGAAAACCCTCTCTCAAAAATATGAACACATCGGAAATGTGAGTTACTGGATCGTTCGTCTGATGGTGTTCAGGAGTTCCGTTTTTAATGCTACCCTTTAACAAAACACAATGGCCCAATACAGTGTGGTTTTCTCACTCGGGCCCTGGGACAGGAAAAGGACATCAGTGGGAAAACCACTGAAATCCACATAAAGCCCGGAGCTGAGTTCCTACCGTGGCACCAACATTTCTTGGGTTTTGACAAAGGTGTCAAGACGATGTGCAGTGCTGACCTTGGGGAGACAGGTTAGGAACTCTGTACTATCATTGCACCTTGCCTGTAAATCCAAAATTATTCCAGAATAAAAAGCTTATTAAAAAAAAACCAGATTAGTAGGAAAACGAGGGAGGGAAAGCCCTGGGAAAGCCCTTTGCCTGTGGATGGGGACTCAGTTACTTGTGACATTGTCTGAGCATGACTAAAGGAGACCCTTTTTCTCCCCCTTCCCTTTTCTGTTTGCAGCATTGACAAGATCTCTAAAGTTACCTCTCCTGTGTTGGTCATTCACGGGACAGAGGATGAGGTCATCGATTTCTCCCACGGCCTGGCCATGTACGAGCGCTGTCCCCGAGCCGTGGAGCCCCTGTGGGTTGAAGGGGCTGGGCATAACGACATAGAGCTTTATGCACAATACCTAGAGAGACTAAAACAGTTCATATCTCACGAACTTCCTAATTCCTGAAGACAACTTAATTTTACCTCATTTACTGTGAACACGGGAGTCCTCTGTTTTGCACACGCTTTAACTGGATCGTGGGAACGGCACGCTGACCACGAGGACGTGCCGGCCTCTTGGGTGTTCTAATCAAACAGTCTTGTATCTAGAGGTTTTCTACTCATTCACACAACCTGTTCCCCCGAATTATTGCGATTTCCAGCTTCATTAACTTTCAGGACTGGGAGTGAGAGCTGAGGGTGGGACCAGGCCTCTCGGGCTGTATAAAAGATGCTCCCATGTGGGGCTCTACCTTACCCATCATTTATGATTCATTAAGGCAGGACACCACCCTCCCTCCCCCACGTTCTCAGTATTTGACAGCAGTTCTTTCAGCCACTAGATTCACGGGGTCAACCCAACGGTGAAGCTGCGATAGACTAACTGGAAAACAATGAAAATTCCTTTGTTAACTTTTGTTGTCAGGCCAGTCTTTCCCCACAAACAGATCATTTGAAGGGGAATTTACTGGAACTATCATAAACAGCTTCATTAACTGGAACCACAGAATACAACTGGAATATTCTTAAACAAAAGGAAACTGGGTTTTGTTTTGTTTTTAAGTGTAAATTTATTACTAGTCAACAGAGTTTTCATATTTTGATTGTCTGGTTGGTCTAACAAAGAGCCTAGCCAACTTTCCTTCTGCAAAGTCCTTCTTGTAGGCTTTTTTAAAGTCCTGTACATAGTTGCAATTACATTGTGCATAGATTCTTAATGGGTAGTTGTCTTTTGTCAGGATACAACAATGAACTGCAGATTCCTTGTTTGTAATGTAAATGATTGGATACATTTTGTTAATATGTTTTTATTCCTATGTTTTGCTATTAAAAATTTTATAACATTTCCAAGACAAAAAAAAAAAAGAAAAATTACAAGTTTATGCTTTGAAGAATTTATGTAATTAAAATGTCACTAAACTAATCTTTTTAGTTTAGCTGTTATTTGGGTTTTGACACTGGAGTTGCATCAAATAAGCATCAGAAATGTTAAGATGCTTAAAATTACTATACTGCTCGTATTGGTTGGGATTTGGGTTTGGAGGTTTTCTTGGTTTTATTTTAAAAAAAAATTTTTTTTTTCTTCAAATTTAAAAGCCTTAAATGTACTGGAAGCCTCAGATCATTGTACAGCTGGATTGCGGCCGATGGCCGGTTTGTGTACTGCTGCTTGGATGTGGCTCAGCAGTTGGTCATGGAATAAAGGATGCATGATCAGGACATGTGGCTTGTGCAGTTTTTCCTTCATCTGTCCTTCAAAGAAAAGAGCAAAACAACATTGTGTCTTGATTTAAGAGGAAACCCTTGGGGTTGAACACACTTCACCCCCTTTCTCAAGATGTATGCTTTTGTTGGATAAGAGACCTTAGATTACTTTTGGAATAAGCCAAGATATAAAACACGTAAGCAGGAAAGGGCAGATGGAACCCAAATTGAGTAGGCAATGGATTCTGGGATGTGGACCAATTCTCCTAGTGAAAAACAACTAACTTACTGAAGAAAATGGAAACATCTTCTTAAACGGATGCATAAGCTGGTAAGGAAATATGGGGGCCACATGCCAAGTAGATAAGAACCAGGGGGAAGAGGTTCATTGTAACCTGTTTGCTCTTGGAAGGAATTTGCTGGACTAGGTTAACCTGAGCATTGGTTTCTCGTTGGGTGGAGCTCAGGGCTGTAGACAAAACCTAGAGTGCCCTCCACGGAGGGGACACTAATTGGAAACTGGCTTCTTTTAGGGGAAAAATCATAGCTCGATAGATACAGAAAACATTTGATGGAATTTTGTCCCATTCATGCTTAAAAGTTAAAACTCATAAAACCAGGAATTGAAGGAAACATACAGAGAAATTATCTTAAAACAAGCATGAGAGTGAATGGTTAAACAACAGAATTATTCCACTTTAGATGGAGAATTAGCCATAGTTCCCACTACCCTCACTTCTCAAAATTCCACAAATGACCCTCACAAATGCAGTAGGGTCAAAAAAATGAAAAACGTATATAAGACATGGGGGAGAAATGGGCTACGTTCTAAAACCGGATTATCGCGATGGCACAGCTCACTAAGCTTACTAGAAAATCATAAAAGGGGTGGATTTTATGATATGTAGATTATATACCTTCATAAAAAAGTTTTTAAAGAAATGGAAAATAAATGAAACAATTATTCCCAGATTACGATGGTCTGTGTAGCACACCTGAAAGTATGTAAACAACCCCAAAAGGCACTGGAGAGGAAAAGGTAAACAGTTTGCAAACCGCAGAGATGCTGCCTCCAGCAAAGGCCAAAGGGGTGCTCCCCCGAGACCAAGGGGAGGCCATTTCTTATATAGAAAGGTCCCCCCCAGTTTCCCAGTTAAGGTCTACTTCACATAAACGAGGTGCCCAAATTGCACAGTCCTCATTGGCGGGCATCCGGGTTCTGGTCGGTTGTTACGGAGCACGTCCAGCTGGACCAGGCAGTTCTCAGGTGGAAAGAAGCGAGCAGGAACTCCTCTATAGCCGGCGACTCGGACCACATAAACCAGCGGGCAGGGCGCCGGAAGTGAGGGGCAGAGCACCGGAAGTAGGGGGCAGAACATAGAGAGTGATGGGCAGAGCACCGGAAGTAGGGGGCAGAACATAGAGAGTGAGGGGCAGAGCACCGGAAGTGAGAGGCAGGGCACCGGAAGTGAGGCACCGCGGGAAAGGCGAGCTTTCCGTCAGAGTTTCTTCCTGGTCCCCGGCATCCGCGCAAGAACCTCCTGACGGCAGGTGACACCTACAGTCTCATTATTTACAAAATTTTGGACCTCGGTTGACCATGGGGAGTCCCTCTCAGCAGGTAAGTTCCTTCTCGGGGTTCACGTCAAACGAATCTCTCTTCCCCCGGGGTCCACAGTATCTACAAATTATTCGGTTTAGTAATTTAGCTAGGTCTCTGGGCACAAAATCAATGTGTGAAAATCAATCTTATTTCTACAAATCAGTAGAAAGGTTTAAAATTCAATAAAAAAGAAAGATGTTCACGATAGCATTAAAACATGTTAAGTGCCTGGGAATAAAGTAACACCCGTACAAGAAACGTTCTGAAGAAAGTTAGAAAGCTTTTTGGAAAGACAGTGAAGACCTAAATTAGTGAGAACTATACCATGTTTATACATAAGAAGGGTCGTTATCTTTATCCTCTCAGAATAACTCTCTAGTGTTCATGTGATTCCAGTCAAAGTTGCCACGGGTTTTTCTGTGGAACCTGACTAGGTAACCCTACAGTTTGTGTAGGAGAACAGAGCGTCTAGCCGGGGCACTTGAAGATGGAAAAGATGGAGAGATGTGCTTTAGCAGATATAAAAATTCCAGGTGGGGCCGGCCGAGTGGCGCGATGGTTAAGAACTCGCTTGGGACGCCAGAGGGCCCCGGTTAGGATCCCACATATGAGGGCCAGTGACACTGCCCTCCACAGCTAAGATGCTGATAAACAGCTCAACCTGGAGCTGGGCTGCCGTGAGTCGCTGGCAATGGCGTAGGCTGCAGCCCCTGCTGCAGTGGGTTGCCACGGGTTACCATGTGTAGCCAGCAGCCAGCATGAGCGGCCAGCAGCCGCAGTGAGCGGCCGTCCAGAAGCCGGCGACTGATCTGCCTCGCCCGGGAAGAGCGCAGTGATGGTGCCAACTTGGGCCATTTAAGCAACGTCCTCCACAACTAGACTGAAGAGCAAAATGACAGCGACTTGTCCGTTCCCCTTCCCCCAATTCCCCAGTGCTGTTCCCATCCCCCAATAAAATCTTTAAAAAAAAATATTCCAGGTGAGAAGTCTCAAGACTGAGAAGGCTCAGTCTGTCCAGATTCTAGCGTGTGTGTGGAAAGGCTTTCCTGGTTCCTGACTCTGGGTTATAATCCCACTCCCACGTGCTGCCTCAGCAATCTGTACTCACGGGAACATAGTTGTTACAGCTGCTGCTTGAAACCACAAAGGAATCAATTTCTAGATGTGATTTATTAAAAATATAAAACTTGGGGCCGGCGGAGTGGCTCAGTTGGTTAAGAGTTGGCTTAAGAGCATGAACTCTGAGCAACAAGGCCGCTGGTACGATTCCCACATTGGCCAGTGATGCTGTGCCCAAGCTGAGCTGTTGCTGAGGTGCCAACAGGTGGCAGGATGGCTCAGCTGATGTAACAACAAGACTGCCTGTTCCATGATGGGCTACGCCCTCTGGCAACCAAGACTGAGCTCGGCACCTTGAGCTGAGCTGCTGCCTGGATGGCTCAGTGGATACAGCGTGCACTCTTAACAACAAGGCTGCTGGTTCGACTCCCGCATGGGATGGTGGCTACGCCCACCTGCAACTAAGATTGAACACAGCACCTTGAGCTTAGAGGCCACGAGCTGCTGACGGGCAGCCAGATGGCGACTGGCACCCTCCACAACGAAGACTGAAGAACAACAACTTGGCTGGTCCCCTTCCCCAATTCCCCAACACTGTTCCCCCAATTCCCCAATAAAAAAATCTTAAAAAAAAAAAATATATATATATAACTTTAATAGTAAAAAAAAATAGCATAACCTAGCGACAAGCTGGGGGGAACATAATAAGCATATGGCAGATAATGTAAAAATATACTTGATAACTAAATGATGAGGTACTCGACTTATTAAAGACCACATGACATGAAGAGACTATAAGAGATTATTGTCTGTAATAATCCCATATAGATTCAATCAAATACTCAATATATCAAATAAATAGATTTAAATAATGAAATTCCATTTTAAATGATAAAGTTGGTATAAATATTTATTTGAAAAGGTTCAATATTTATTTGAAGGGATTATTTGAAATATTTATCTGAAGAGGTTATTTGAAGAGATTATTGCCCATAATACTTACAGATTTAATCAAATAATCTAATGAATATATCAGATAATAGATTTAAATAATAAAATGCCACTTAAAATTATAAAGTTGGTATAAGTATTTAAAGCATATAATGCATTGGTGGTGAAGCTGTGGATAAATGAGCACTTTAAATTTATACTGCTCATTTTACACACCAAACTGGTACAAACTTTATAATGTATACTTTGAATCAAAGCCTGGACTAGCAATGTGGCTTCTAGGAATTTCTCCCAAGAAGTACTCAAGAGGATGAGATGAGCTTATATAGGATAATCACTGCTACAGTTGTTAATAAGAGTGAAAAGTTGCAGCAATCTAAGTTTCCAGCAGTAGGACTTTAGTTATTGTGTCCATAAAGTGCACAACTCTGCACCCTGTCACAAATGCTGCTGTAGGATAATGTTGAGTGACATGACAAGATTTTCAAGATACATCGTTAAATGATAAAACTGGCTACCAACTGGCTCCTGCGGTATGATTTCCCCTGTTCACCCTGCCCCTCCACACATCCAAACCTGGACAAAGAGCTGGCAATACAACAGTGTTAACGGGTTCATGGTCTTGTCGGTAACTGTTTATCAAGAGGAAAACCTAACCCATGGATCAGGATTCATGTGGAGTGGCTATGAAACGGCGTCAGTAAGTTCTTTTGTTACTCTACAGACGGTCCCCAACTTGGGATGGTTCAATTTAGGGTTTTTCAACTTTACAATGGTGTGAAAGCAATACACATTCATAGAAACCATACTTGGAATTTTGAGTTTTGATCTTTTCCGGGCTAGCGATGTGCAGTGTATGCTACTCTCTGGTGATGCTGGGTAGTGGCAGCGCCGCAGCTGCCAGGCTGCCCTGTGATCCCTAGAGTAAACTGATGCTTTACGGTACATTCACAGTGTTGGGTGATTTTGCCCAACTGTGGGCTAATGCGCATGTTAGTAAAGTTGGCCGGGCTCAGCCGTTATGCTTGTAGATTAGCTGTATTAAATGCAGTTTTGATTTATAGTATTCTCCCCTTACAGTGGGTTTATCGGGACGTAATCCCATCGTAAGTCGAGGAGTATCTGTAATTTGTTCTGGAACTCTGCTTGATGTCAGTATCTCACTCCCCCAAAAGATGGCTGCTTTTACTGAGCTCTTCCTGGGGACATCTCATCCCCTGGCATGTGAGGCTTACTAAGCAGTAGATTACGTTCATGTCAGTAGCACATCCCATGTTGTCCAGCTCCATTGCCGGCCTTGCCCGCCAGGATTTCCGCAGAGAAGACACAGTCCTTCCTGCAGGGGCTTGCCCAGCTGGGTGGGTTCAAGGGCAGAGGGCCTGGGATGCAGCCCTGGAACCAG